CGTTATCCGATATATCTCTTGGGGCAAGGGTTTAAAAAAAAAGTATGCTCTGATTTTGATCTTGTCTGTAAGGCCTCAGAAGCCACGTGTGTGCAGCAGTAACTTGGGATGGTCTAACTGTGTAAGGGAAGCTCGCCAGAAGGCTGATGTATATTGGACTTGGATCTGTTGCAGAATAGCAGAAGACTTAGAAATACCTACAGGATGTAGATAGTCATCCTGTTTTTGCAGGAGTTAATGTGGGGTTTTTAGTTCATTTGAGCCACTGGAAGGAGCACGTAATGTCTAATACATACATTTCTTCACATCTTCTTTTTATCGTTATCCTTCTCTGTAGGTCCATATGGTACTCAGATCTTATTCTTACCCGTTCATCCCAAAATGCTACCAGCTGAAGACAGTCAACTTCCTATATATATTTTTTTTTCTTTAAAACCCCTCATGTTATTTTTAGACAGGCTACTCAGGATGCTCCTGAAGAGGTGCGTAACCGTGATTTCAGAAGGGAGCTGGAGGAGAGAGAACGAGTTGCTGCAAGAGAAAAGAATAGAGATAGGCCAACCAGAGGTAAAAACAAATTTTTAAGCAAAGAAACAGAAGTCATAATACCTTTGTGTGGCACCACTCTAACACGAAATTTCATGTTATAAGAAATTTGCAAGTTGCAGGCAGCATATAATATGGGTAGAACTGAGGAGTTTGGTCTGATAGTTCAGAACTGTTGACCTGCACAGGAATGTTCCCTGGCTTTCACGCTGGCTTCATGCTAGCAAAAATCTAGGCCAGCCAATCGAAAAGCATAGGCCATCAGGGAGACTAGCTTCTACTGTATGATTGTAATGAACTGGCAACAAGTATGTAGAGTTAATAAAGGCTTTTTTGTAGTTGAACAAATGAGACAGGAAGGAGAAGGAGAATGACTCATCTTCTACTGTTGCAGCACCAATGAAACAGTAAATCGAGTTTTAAAGAATGTGATACTCTTTAGGTACAATTAAGTAATCAACTGAAATGAACATCAAAAGTTTATTTGAGAAATGCTCATTTTAATATTATGGTTGACAGAATTTAGATACTGTTTGTGGTTTAGAACTTGTGAAGTTTACGTAGGTTTTTTGCAGCTTTCAAATTTACAGACCAAAGCAGATGTGATTTGAATGAAATTAAGACAACAGTAATGCTGTGGGGTGGGCCATAAAGGGAACACTCCAGTTCAATATGTAGAATGGGGATATTTCTCTACATGTAGTTTTTTTTCTCCTACTGTTCTTTTTTCTTGAAATGGTGACTTGAAAAAACTCTTAGAGGACAAGTTTTGAGTTTGAGGTGGTTAGTGTTTTCCCTGAGAATTTCTCCAAGGGGGGGAATTAGCATGGACATTAAGAGGTGCTGAAAAACGAAGCATACGTTCATATCTCTTAGTCTAAGACATGGTAAATTGTTCATCCTTTTTTTTGACATTAGACGCTGTAAAAAGAAGTTGAGTGACTTATTTTCTATTTTTATTTTAAATCTTATTCATTAGAACACACAACATCATCCTCTGTGTCTAAGAAACCTCGACTAGACCAAATTCCTGCAGCAAATCTTGATGCTGATGATCCACTTACAGATGTATGTATTTTCTTCTGTCTTCTCTGTCCTGTCCTCCTCCTGCCTTGGGAGAAGGCAAATCCTATTAATTTACTATTAGTAGAACATGTATTGTCAGATCTGTTAGATTTGACACGAAACTGCTAACTGGTTCCAGGCCGTCTTCTTTCTCCAGTTACTCTGGTGGGAATGCTAGTTCAGAGGATTGTCTGAATACCACCCTATAACGGTGTTCTTAGAAAGGAGCAAGTATGCTGCAACTGTGAGCATGTAAAGACTAGGAAACTCAAAGTACCACTTAAAAGATGGGGAAATTGTGACTTTTTAGATTTCAGTGAACAATTGAATTGAGTAGAATTCCCCAACGGGCAGAGCTGTTGATATACACTGACTGTCTCCATAAGCAATGGATTCTTGCTTTTGGTTCCTTCCCTTATGCTGACAGCTGATATTTATGTCTAGTGCTTGACGGTAGAGTGAGTGTTTTTTGTTTGTTTTTTAATCCTGTTATATTTGGTCACACCGATATCGGATGTGATACTGAGGCACGCTATTATGATGACTTAGGTTACAATGATTAGAGAGTCATTGAGGACAGTCGTTCCCTGAAATCTGTTAGCGTGTCGACTGCGTAGCATTTGAATTATAAATAACTAATTGCAGTCATCCAGATAAGAACAAACACATACGTTGTGTCTTGGCTTTACTTTATAGGAACAAATAAACCATTTGTATTGCATTTGCCGTCACTACAAACATGCTAGTAGTTCAGAAATTAACTAGCAGCAAATCGCAGCCTTTAGCTGCGCAGACTAGGACTGTGTTTTGTTGATTTGTTTTTCTTTTGTTGTTCAGATAAGCAATTTATCTCTGCAGTAACTTTCAGAACTAAAAGCTTATTTTATTAAGTTAAATAAATGAGCAGCTTCCCGTTTCCTTTCATTGCTATTAGGAAGATGATGAAGATGAAGACCTGGAAGAGAGTGATGATGATGACACTGCAGCTCTTCTGGCTGAACTAGAAAAAATCAAGAAAGAGCGAGCTGAGGAACAAGCTCGAAAGGTAAACTCTGACCCATACAAGAGCCTTTGTATTTTTGCAAACATGCTTGTTAAAACTGCTGTGCCGTAAGTACTTTTGACCAGTGAGAACTGATCAAAGTAAGTAGCAAGCTCAGTGCTGACACAGCCCTTCAAAAAGACTCTTCAGAATCTGGCAGACGCCTCAGTGTATGTATTATCTGGTGCTTTTGCTTATGGCTGTGAGCTTTATTAAAACAATTGTTCTTTTAGTAGCATTGATATTATGTTGCCTTAGGAAGGAGTAGCAGTTGTAACTCTAGGACAGAATCACAGAATGGCTGAGGTTGGAAGGGACCTCTGGAGATCATCTAGTCCAACCCCCCTGCTTAAGCAGGGTGCCCTAGAGCACGTTGTCCAGGATTGTGTCCAGACAGCTTTTATCTCCAGGGAAGGAGACTCTACAACCTCTCTGGGCAACCTGTTCCAGTGCTCTGTCACCCTCACAGGAAAGAAGGTTTTTCCTCAGGTTCAGACGGAACTGCCTGTGGTTCAGTTTCTGCCCATCGCCTCTCGTCCTGTCACTGGGCACCACAGAGAAAAGTCTGGCCCCATCCTCTTGACACCCTCCCTTCAGATACTTGTACACATGGATCAGATCACCTCTCAGTCTTCTCTTCTCCAGGCTGAACAGGCCCAGCTCTCTCCTATGAAGAAAGGTTGAGAGATGCTCCAGTCCCCTCATCATCTTAGTAGCCCTTTGCTGGACTCTCTCCAGGAGCTCCATTTCTCTCTTGTACTGGGGAGCCCAGAACTGGACAGAGTATCCCAGGAGAGGCCTCCCCAGGGCTGAGTAGAGGGGGAGGAGCTGTCCTGATATGATTATATACAGGCAGGTTTGTTTGGAAAATGTCTCTGCAAAAACAAATGAATAATACAGCAGTTAGTTTTTTTTCAGAGTGTTTGAAGTCAGCTCCGTATGTAACTTTCATACCTCCCTATTGCCTCTCTCTACAGGTAGAAAGATCTTTCTGTATGCATGAAAGCGGAGGGAAATCTCTGTAGTTGGAGATTTCTCCCGTGAGTGGGATTAAATATTGTGCTATTGGCTCTCCCACCTTGGTGTGAGAGGTATTCTTATATGTAAGTTCTGCCTTAGTGTAAAAAATCCTATCATCTTTGTATAATGTAATCTAAGATGCTTTGTAGAGCATGCTAAATAAATGTGTTCAATATCGATCAGGGTATTTGCTGCTGTGATTACTTTAATGTTTTGGTGTCTCTGAACTACTCGGGACCTTTCCTGTAGTTCGATGTGCACACCAATAGTTTAACTGCTAGAATGTTTCATGAATGCTCTCGAGTAGAGTCAACTAGCAGTAAACGGCATAACTTCTAGCAGATACTGTGAATGGCTAGGAGGTAATAATGTTTTAATTGCTATAGGCACAACTGTAGTGCTTGACCTGGCTTTTGGCTAACAATATAGAAATCTACCTTTAAAATCAGCAATGTCTGTAAAAACAGTGAACTCCGGAATTTTGGATTTAAGTACTTTGCAAGGTTAAAAGGTGTACCAGTACTGCTGCAGTGTAAAATTTTGCTGTAGAAGGCTTGTTGAAACTTGATTCATCGTCTGACCTGTAAGCACCCTTTTAAGTGGAAGTATATTTGAAAGCATCTCTGTGGGCATTTGATGCACACCACGCAGCAATATTCAGGGACGTGTCATTGTGTTCTGCAGTAATAACGTGGTGAAATGACTTACACTGGCAACAATTCTTCCACATATTCCTGTTTGAAATGTATTTTAATACAAAAAATTCAGGGTAGCAGTAAAGTAGGGAAGGCTTCTGTTTCCTCTGTCCTAGCACAGAGTTGTTACCTGAAAACGTATGCAGGTCTAAGTTTTCATTGTAATTGCCCGATAGTTAAAATTATGCATCTAGGTTAAGCAGCATAACTTGTTTGTCACGTTTCAATTTAGAAAACCCGCATTAGGAAATAATGGTAGTAAATTGCAGCGCACAAAACAAAGCGCAGGACTTGAGAGTCCTGTGTAGAAAGCAGAGGATGTGTTATCAGATGTATGAAATACTTTTTGTCACTAGAGGGTGCTAAAGGCTGTGGAGTAACTGGTGCAGAACTTGTTCTATTTTGCTGTCTTTAATTGTTTTTCC